TTCAAATAATGCCCAAGTAATTTATTCTCCCTGAATAGTAAATAGGCGAGATGCAGTGTACCACCACTTGTGGGCATCCCCTTCAAGCATGTAAACAGAATACAATAATCTATGGGGATCCTGACACCCCATAACTTAGAATATTTTCTCCATACCCATCAACCAAGTAGTCACAACCTTCGGGTCCCTTGACCCCTGAAATGCTGGCGGTTTATGTTTTCGAAAAGATATGAGCCTCTGCTCATCAGTACCAACTAATACCTGCCCAGAATGACAACTAGCCCCACTCCCTTCCTGGTGAGGTGTAACAGATGGCGTACGGGTATGAGTCTCCGTAGCCGTATGTGGAGCAGAATCATCCCTCCAGTTCTGAGCCTTATCTGCCCTCATCTCATTCATGAAGGCATGCATCATATCCTGATTATTTTTCATCAGGGTGTCGGTCATATTTCTATTCGCAGCACTCTCTTCCTGCAGAGCATTCAGAACTGCAGTAATATGATCTGGTGCTGCTAGACGACCTGCACCTCGAGTTCCACAGCGACCTCGTGCCCTACTCATGATATCTGTACATGTAACACAAAGGAATGAGCTGATCAGACCCACACTGAGGAATCACATATACATTAATCATAGTTCCCTTACAAAACTGCTCTGATACTATAAAATGTAACAGCCCGTTGTACACCGGTATTGTTAACATTAATTATGATATTAAGCGCAGTTACAATCACAACAATTCATTTATAAAAATGCGAGTAAACTTTTTCCGTTTATTACGCGAGCATTTAAAACAATAAAAAGCGTAATAAATAAAAGTTTTGACCGTAACTGTAAAATCTTTGCGGAATAATTATTTAAACTACTTTTATATCTTATTTTACTTACCACAAGTCACTAAGGGGTTCCCATAAACCCACTTAGCTAATTTCTCACTTTTACGTTTTCTACCTATCCGAACATGGTTCGTTCATTAATTTTATGCGAACAAACCGCATTCTAAAAGCCTCCCATATTTTTATATGTTATTATACACTCAATTACCTTTCTAGGAAGCTATCACAAGAGTTATTTAGAGCTCGTTTGCTCTGGATATCGCCATTTGAAGCTGGACAAGCAAAACTACCAACCAACCCCAAAACAGCTCCAAACATCCCTCACTCACCGAATTACTAAAGACATTACACTCAACCAATTGCTCTCAAAATTTTATACAACAAACTAGACAACTACAGCTTCAATTTGATATATCATACACCTAATTTGACCAAGAAAAGAAGCGGAAATAAATTTCCCAAAACCGGTCCAGAACTGCCACATGTGTAGTGAGCAAATGGGCAGTCTGCACTCTCTGCCTTCTACAGGCCGACTTCCGACCCAGACTTTTACCATATTTTACCACAAGATAGAACACATCTCAAGCTTCGAAATGGCATATTGAACGTCCCTATCGGACCTCTTTGGAGGGAGATATGGTCTCCCAAATTTTTCTTAAATTATGCCAACTTCTAAAAATTCGCCAGAGTTTTCTCTGTTTTTACAAAAATCCCCAAATTTGCCAATGTGATCTAGAACCTCAAATATACCTAATAATCATTGGGTGGCACACACAAGGACCAACAATGCCTTAGGGAACTTACAATCCATCACAATTTATATTAATTAAACAATTCGTATCACATTGCTTCCTTTATTAATATTTAACACGTTTCAATCATCCAAGTCCAATTGCATGCATTTGCTAATCACACATATAATCATAATCCTAAAATAGGCCTATTGTCATTCCATCATATTACACATACTTCATAATTACATCAACTCGTGTATAATTTACAAGGCTTCCCATGACATATTACAATTACAACTTTAATCTCCAAATAATACATGATAAAGAAACCTCAAAATGACATAATTCAAATACAACTAGACTTAGGAAAAAATGACATGAACAACTATGACCATAAATCTCATCCTAGATTACATATGCAACGTTCATGCCCTAAGTCTAGCCTAGGCCCAATGGCCACCAAATTGAAAAATGTATAATACTCCATCCAGTCATCCTACGGGCTTCTTCCCCGCCGCTCCTGCACCACTGCTACCTCCTGAAATAAAGCCCCCAAGACGGGGTGAGACATACGAATATATCTCAGTATCCCAGAGGTTCCGGAGAAAACTCTGCCCAATGGCTCACTTCGATGCAAATAAATAACACAAAATAACATCTTGAAAACGAGATAAAGCAAGGGATTTAGAGAAATCGAGGAACATAGGTATACAAAATACGACGAAGCTAGAATGGTCGATGCCAATACAATGCAACGTCCTGCCTAATGGCTCGGCATATATGCCTACGTGTCTCAACCAAGGCGTGTTCTTAGAACATCCAACCGAGGCACCCTCCATCCATATAGACCCGAGACTTCCTAGTGTGCTCCTATCCGGATCACACACCAAGACCCTAGGTCAATTGGAACTCCCTTCGGAGACCTATCCAGTGGAAGTCCGCAACGCCCGAAGGCAAACTGTCTACTGGCCAGGGACTCGGTACATCCTATTTACCAACATATATACTAAATGCATGATCATGTTATTCTACATTACTTACATACACTTCCTACCATCACCCTCAACGGGGATTGTGGAACACATAAGGGGATCAAGCCCCAGTACCAAGAGGTTACATGTATAGTCCTCTTCACTTAGCTCCCAGTAATATATTCTCCGACCTCGTTTTACAGCAGAAATGCCTACACAGAGGACATTCCCAATTACTTAAAATTCGTACAAACACATGCAAGTTACCAATTATACAAGCACGGTTCCAACTACTCACCTAAATCCCACTTGGTCCAGGACCAAGGGGGATCCACCGAACTCATGGTTCGTAGTTCAAATCTACGTACGGCAACCTACGACAACCATGTACGAATTATCAATACACGACAAATCTATCAGACTATGAAAACGTCAAAAAACCTCACCCACACTAGGTAGGTTTGGCCTACATAGGGTTATTTTACATTTTATTTTTCTAAATTTTCTTTCTCATTTTCTTAGGCATCCTTAGGTTACCAAAAGTCCATATCAAGTGCCACTTTTCATTTTTCTTCATTCAAACGTCGTTTTGCCTAATATTTTACTCTAGGTTCCATGACACCTCTCAACACATCAATTATTTTTCCATTGGTTCTCCAACATTCCAACCATCACACAACCCATCTAATTACCATTGAACACATAATACATCATCCAAGTAATTTCAACAACATCATTTCCTTTCTTTTCCCTGAATGGCCGAATTCAACAAGGGCGTACTCTAAGGAATTTCAATCAATTTTAACTGCTCCACACCTCATACAATCCCATTATATCATCATACAACCATATCACAATCCCATTACACAATCCTAACAATAATCTCAAACCCAAAGTCATGACACCATCAAATTTCTCTAAGTTAAAAATCATATTTTTCACCAATAATTTTTATTGCATTTTTAGCTACTACACATCATTCTAGGACACATTCATGTACAAATATTTTCCATTTGAGCTCTCTAACAACACAAATCAACAAAACCCCCTTTAGGGTTCATGAACTAAATCCAAAGATTAAACCGTTAAAATGATGAAGAAACTTACTCAAAAGCTAGGCACAAGGCTCCTCCAAGACATACTAAACCATTGGAGCTCCTAACAACTCCATGAACAAAAATCTAACATTATGAGCCGCGGCCTTGGGGAGGGAATATCTCAATTTCTAGTGGCTTTCAAGGTTCAAAGGTACCACCAATGGGTTTAGAAGATGATTTCCATCAAGTTTCAAGCCAAGGATCAAGAGATTTGGTGCCTAAATGACTAAGTTATGGAGGAATGAAAATTTGAAGTGAAATGGCTATGGTGGGGAGGGGAGTTCACGATTTTGCAAGAGAGGACGGAAGGGAGAGATGATGAATAGTGATGAGGCTTATGTGGCTTAAGTGGATTTAAGTGGGGTGGGTCCCACCACCATCTCACACACTTTCATACTTATTTGAATTTCCCTCTGATTCCACTAAACGTCCATAAATTCACAATCTATTTAGAAACTCTAATTTTTAACATTAAACATTGTCCTTTAATCACCTTTGATCAGATGAATCCAGAGTTTTCCGGTCGTTCGATGAAAATGTTGTTTTAAGCTATTGCGCGCGCCGTTGGCACGCTTCCCCAAACTTACTTATTCCCATCAAATTTTATCAGAAATCATATTTCCTAGTTCTATAAACCATTTATAACTTGTATTCAAAACCTAGAGCGCAAAACTCAATCGACACGCTCTACGGTGCAACTATACCGCAGTGTTTTTACCCGGTAAAAACACTATTCACTGAATTTTCTGAAACTTCCCTAACCACTCAATTTTTCGTTCTGAATCCATTTCCAGGGTTATTTTTATCATTTGTGACCTTCTACTCAATTTTTATCTTCCTAGGGTTGCGTGTTGGCTAATTACCGTTTTGCCCTTTCTTTATATTTTGGCCTAATTTTCAGGATTTTCACTAATCCTTCCCTTTAATCAATGTTTAATATCTTAATATATAATTTAGAATTGCGTGGTGTTATAGATGTCTCCACCTGAGTTAGCGAAATTGAAGAAGCATATTGAGGATCTTTCCGTGAAGAACTTCATCCGACTGAGTGTGTCTCCATGGGGAGCACCGGTCATCTTTGTTAAGAAGAAAGATGGGACCATGCGATTGTGCACCAACTGCAGACAGCTGAAGAAGGTGAAAATCAAGAACAAGTATCCCCTCCCACGTATTGATGATCTTTTAGATCAGCTTAGGGGTGCTTGCGTGTATTCCAAGATTGATCAACGGTCCAGATACCAACAGATTCGGGTTAAGCCGGAGGATGTTCCCAAGACCGCATTTCATTCGAGATACGGTCACTATGAGTACTTGGTGATCCCGTTTGGACTCACCAATGCACAAATAGTGTTCGTGGATTATATGAACTGTATTTTCCAGCCGTACTTGGATCATTTCGTGATTGTCTTCATTGATGACATACTGATTTACTCAAAGAATGAGGAGAAGCATGATGAGCATTTGAGGATCATGTTGCAAGTACCGAAAGAGAAGAAACTTTATGCAAATCCTTCAAAGTGTGAGTTTTGGCTCAATTCAGTGAAATTTCTTGGGCATGTGATTTCTGCAAAAGGAGTGGCATTGGATCCTAACAAAATTGAGGCAGTGCTAGATTGGGAGAGACCCAAAACAGTTACAGAGGCGAGGATTTTCTTAGGGTTGGCAGGTTACTATAGGAGGTTCATTGAAGGATTCTCCAAGATGGTGTTGCCACTTATTCGCCTTACCCAGAAGGAGACTCCGTTCGTGTAGACTCACGAGTGTGACAAATGCTTTCAGGAGTTAAAGGAAAGATTGACAACTGCACCAGTGTTGATCCTTCCTGATCCTGCGGAGGAGCTTGAGCTTTATTGTGACGCATCTAAGAAGGGGCTAGGCTGTGTGTTGATGCAAACTAGCAGAGTTGTTGCTTATGCTTCGAGGAAGTTGAAGCCTCATGAGGAGAACTACCTGACTAATGATTTGGAGTTGGTTGCTATTGTTTTTGCCTTTAAGATTTGGAGGCATTACTTGTACGGTATGAAGTTTGCAGTGTTCAGCGATCACAAGAGTTTGAAGTACCTGTTTGACCAGAAGGAGCTGAACATGAGACAAAGAAGATGGATGGAATTTCTGAAGGACTACGACTTTTAGTTGAAGTATCACCTAGGAAAGGCCAATGTGGTAGCTGATGCATTGAGTCAGAAATCCGTGAGTCTATCCAGTGTTTTGATTAACGACTTTGATGTGATTGAGAAGTTTCGAGACTTGATAGTGACCTCTTTGTTTGGAGGTGCACTCTTGGAAATGGAAACAGTGAGAGTTGAAAATGAGCTGATGGAAAAGATCAAAGAGGCGGAAGTGCAAAGAGAGTGCCTTCACTATGTGAAGAACCAATATGGTGTTTCTTGGAATGATGAGGAATTGTTAATGTTTCAGAAGAGGGTTGTGGTACTTAGAGGTCTATTGACTGAGGAGGTGATGTCAGAGGCTCATAAGGGCCAATTCACTATCCACCCTGGGGCTACAAAGATGTATCAAGACTTGAAGAGAAACTTCTGGTGGCCGGGCATGAAGAAAGATATAGCAGTTTATGTGTCCAAGTGTTTAATATGCCAGACAGTGAAGATTGAGCACCAGAAACCGTCTGGTAAGCTTCAACCGCTTGAGATTCTGCAGTGGAAGTGAGAGAGCATTTCCATGGACTTCGTGGCGGGATTGCCTAAGACTCAGGCTGGTTGTGATTCCATTTGGGTCATTGTGGACAGATTGACCAAGTCTGCCCATTTTCTTCAAGTGAAGGTGAGCTTCTCTACAGAGCAGTTGGCCAAGATATATGTTCGCGAGATTGTGAGGCTTCATGGGGTGCCCGAGAGTATCATCAGTGATAAGGACCCGAAGTTCACATCTCGGTTCTATGAGGCCCTGCAGGGAGCTTTTGGTACTCAGTTTAGATTGAGTACAGCCTATCACCCTCAGACTGATGGGCAGACTGAGCAGACCATCCAGACATTGGAGGACATATTGCGGGCTTGCACGTTGAGGCAGGGCTCAGCATGGGATCGATACCTACCATTGCTTGAGTTTTCGTACAACAACAGTTTTCATGCTAGCCTGGGCATGGCACCCTACGAGGCACTGTATGGTAGGAGGTGTCAGACTCTTACCTGTTGGTCTGAGGTTGGAGATCGAGAGTTATTTGGCTTGGACTTTGTCCAAGAGACTACCCACACTACAACAAAAGAGGTATACGAAGGCGGTTCATAAGTCATTTCACGACGGTTTGAACCGCCTCCAAATGCAAATTTCGGCCGTTAACCAACCGTCGTAGTTACTATCGTCGAGAGGCAATTCAACGACGGTTTGACTAAACTGCTGGAATAACCGTCGAAACAGAATTCAACGACGGTTGCAGAGGCGGTTATCATCGCCTTAAAATATCCTCAAAAAAATCGATGAATATTCAAAAGCGGTTTCCTAACTGTCATGGAATTCCACATGACGTCATTTATTTAACCATCGTGGAATAAGTATTTTAAGGCGGTTGTATAAAAGTCGTTGAATAAGAATTCAAAGGCGGTTGACAACCGTCGTGGAATTCCACATGACGTCATTTATTTAACCGTCGCGGAATAAGTATTCTAAGGCGGTTGTATAAGAGTCGTTGAATAAGAATTCCAAGGCAGTTTATAAAGCGTTGTGGAATAATAAATCTTAGGCAATTTTTGTAACCGTCGCAGAATAAGATATCGAAGACGGTTATCTAAGGGTCGTGAAATAAGAATTTAAAGGCGGTTTAATTATGTCGTTGAATTATACAAATTTTTATTATAATTAAATAATATTTAATTTTTTAAGAATTTTATAAAAAATTAATGCAATATTCTCTGTTGTCAAAATAAATATAATAATTTTTTTTAAAAAAAATTAAACATTAAACCTAAACATTTATTTTTTGAACACAGTATATATATATATATATATATATATATATATATATATATATATATTTAATTATTACGAATGGAAAATTGGAGAAAGATTGAAGTTTTAATTTTTTTTAATTCAATATAACTTTGTAAATAAATTAAAAATTATGCTTTTCATCCATAATTAAAGTTAGAATCAGTAGACTTTTCTAAACACATGCACCAAATTCTAATAGTTATAAAATTGACACCAAATTCTAATAATTTTAAACCTAAATATAACTGAGAAGTGTAATTGTCAATATTGTCATAACATTAATTCTCCCTGGCAAATAGACACCAAAATATAAAAGTTAACTAACAAAAAGTCATTACAAAAAGCCATCACCAAAATGTCATGGGGTTATTGTTCTGAGAAACATAAAAAAGAGGACTATGGACAAGATGGGTGTCCTTGATTATGAGGTTCAGGTGAATTTGGTCCTTATGCATTTGGTACATGGCTAGCAGAAGAAGAAGGCATGAGTCCGTTAGGAGAGCCCAAATCTTGAGGCTGCATCAAAAATTTAATAAAAAAACTAAATGTCAAATGCATAACATCAAATAAAAAATTAAAAAATAGGTGAAAACATCACCAGTAACAATTTTAAAGCAATTAAAAACATAAGACAAGTATGAAGGAAATAAAAGGAAATTTCATCATAATATGCATTAAGACTTCTAATCAAGCATTAAGTTTCTAAGTTAGTTTGTTGAGAAGGCCACATGGGGATATGGTAGCTAGCTTTCCAAAATACAAAAGAAAAGGGATGGAAAATGCCATAAATGTTAGAAAAGGTTCACAAGAAGAACTACCAGATATGTATGAAAATGTATTCACCATGATTTATGACAGAAGTGGAGGCTGTTTTTGCCTCTTTGCATGTAAGATTGTTCCCTAGATCAACTAGCTAGTGTTAATGGCATAAAGGTGTTTCTATCATTGGAGCATTGTGTCAATGATAAACCTCAGTGACATGTCATGATTTCAAATCAACTGAAAAAGTATTTAAGTGCTCTTGCTTAGCAAGGACAGATACAAAAAGAAAAGAATAATGTTATTATAGGTAAACTGAGAGCAAAGTAATGTCATACGTATTAATTGAGTGCCCTTGCTAAGCACACACTTTTTTTTCTATTTATTATTGCTTAAAAGTTTCTATTAAAAAAATCATTTTTGTTTACTTGAGATGAAGATGTGTCCTAAACTTTCTGGAATTTACCACGAAAAATCCAGAGGGAACTCAGCTAATTTAGAGAGACCCATATATCATATGTATCTGTTTAATTGTTTATATCCATAGTCTAAGTCTTAGACTAAAGAGTATTATTTTGAAGAAAGCAATACTAACAATGTCAACAATGACCAGAATAATAGTCAGAGTCCTACAAAACACTATGATTAAAGGTAGACATAAAGAAAAGTACACCCAGCAATGTAATAGGTTCAAGATGCAGCAGTCACTCATGAAACAAAAAACATAAGTTCCAATCATAATCTCAAATAGAAAATACAAGAACAATTTGGTAAATATTGTATTATATACCTGTTGCAATCCATTTGATACAAAACCAGGGGGCATTTGACCCCCAAAGCTACGTACAAAGAAAGTCAATGCTTCCTCCAAATATTGAACCTTAGATTTCAAGGAGTTAATTTCATTGGATGTAGACGTTGAGGAAGATGATCCAGAACTAGAACCACGTTTAAAAACTTGGGAAGGGCAAACCCCAAATCCTATACCCCGTACACGTCCAGGGTGCTCCTTCCCAAACACATGAACATAAGCATCTTCTTCGGATAAAGTTCCATCATTGTGTGCAGCTAGTAACAATTCCTACAAAATTTGATCCAACAACCAATTTAAAAATAGTAACATTGTCATATAGGAATACAAGTAAACAACTATTAGATGGCATAATACTGCCAAAAAGAGTAATGATGAATTAAATCATGTCAATAAAAATTTTAATAAAATCAGAATCAAATTTTACTGCATAAAAGCCAATTAGTGGAGAGAACTCAATCTGTGAGGCACTTTAAAATTTTTGCCCAGATGTAATGGTGAGAATCCATGGTTCAACCATCAACATATTTAGAGTGGTACCAATCGCCATTACACACGCTCAAAATCATACACGAATGCATTTTAATACAAATGTTCATGAGATAACCCAGCATATGCATGAATAAATATTGTCTAAGTGCCTGGAATTAAGTTCATGGGGTCAATCTTCTAAGCTAGATTTATGATGGTCCTTTAACGAAATAACTGTTCTGGGCTGTAAAAAATTAAAAATTGTATCACCGAAAAAAAAGGTGTAAATATATAATAAAAAAGCACAATCAGCATGGGTAAGTTGACAAAGGTAACTTCAAGGAACCAGAATCCAAAGGTAACTTCAATTGCTCTATTCTAAAATTACATAGGGCTTTGAGAATTCAATTCAAGTGAACACACAATTTTATATACATGTTTTTTTCAAATCTAAATGTGCATAAGCGCCAGCATAGAAGATAATGAGAAGCATCAATGCAGAAACTATTGCAAAAACTTACCCTTCCTCGTTTAAGCAAAATAGCAGAGACCCCCACAGATAATGCATAGACAGCTTCAAATGCAAAAGTTGACAAAGGTCGTAAGTTGCTGTTGCGGCAAAGGAACCCTGACAGTAATGTAATCCATTACAAAATAAACCCAAAATTGAGAAAAACAAAAACACCAAAAAAAGAAAAAGTAACACAAAAAAGTATACAAAAACACAAAATTACAATTAAAGAAACTCCATTTCATAAATAAATTG